CACACATAAATAAATAAAATAAAATAAATTTTAAAAAAACAAAGCAAAAGGTCCCTATTATTATAGCTTCCAAAGTAAATAAAGTTAGACTGAAAGCCAAATGGTTTTAACAAAAATACTTACTACATTAAAAATTGTATAATAATCTGAAAGTTAAAGATAAAGTCATCCTACTTTTAAAACTTTAGTAGAATTTTTTTTTTTTTAATTTTAGGGAAGGGTCTACAGGGTGTTCAGGGTCTCATTACTAGATTGGACTCTAGCGATCTGCCTGTTTACAGCCTCCCAAGAGCTGGGATTACAGGCACATGCCATCCCAGGCTCAATGCGCCCTGGGGGCGGGGCTGCCACAGCAGACCCAGGGATGGAATGCTCAGCCCCTGTGCCTGCCTGCAGATGCTTTAATCTGCTGAGTTATTTGGCTGGCCCTTAAACTTTAGTAGAACTTTTAAAGGGTATTTCCATTTATGTAATTTTTAAACAGCTGTGACAAATAGACTGTACTGACACAATCAGCTTTATATAGCTCATATCCTCACTTATAATTATTCACTTATAATCATCTCAGTAAAATCATTAAACGATGAAAATTACCATTTAGAAGAAAGTTCGTAAGGCAGGAAGATGGTCTACTATTTACATCCACAGGTGAAATTCGATAAGCTCCAGTACAATAGTGCAATTCTGAAATAGAAGAAAACACTGATTTGAAAGAATATTAAGAAATAGTCCCACAATTAAAAAAGCTTGCATACTGAGCCCCTAAAACAATAAAAACAAGAAAGAAATTAGTTGCTCCTCATACAGTACTTTAAGAACCACTGATCTCTTCCCTTTTTCGATGATGTGAAAATACCTACCAATATTATTTGTCCTCGGTGTGCACCACTTCAAGGTTATAGTTTCCTTAAATGGGCCTTCTCTGTTGCTGCCACCGAGGTGGGTATCACCTTTAAAAATATGTCAGAGAAATATCAGCAATACCAAACAGACCACAAGCTCCAAACCAGTTATTTATGAACGACTCCAGAGCAAGTTTAATCTCTGTAAGAGACAATGATGCTGAGAAAACATCTTTTTTCTTTTTACAAAATCCCTCTCCCAAAAAATGCCAGAGTATGGATATTTGTTATGATTAAAAGTAATAATGTAGTTTCCCTCCAAATTTTTCATTCACTAGTAATTTTAGACACTGTACTGAGAGTTAACAAATTTTTTAAAAAAATTTAGGCAACTGCCTGTCCACACCATTCAACAATACGAAAGAATAGTTACACACTCTGAGGAGGCATAAGGAATCTAAAATGCACAACTTACTATACCAACATAATATGCAGCACTACAAGCATCTCTAAGACATATGACCTATTTTAATTCACTTAAAAAAAAAAAAAAGCAATCTCCTTTAAAAGTGGTCATCAGTCTGAGTTCTAAGACAGTGGGCAGAAATTATCTTCTTAAAAAGGAGAAAAAAGGACTAAGGCAAAGGAAACAGGAGCAGATGCTAAGAACCTCAGCAGGAGGGAGAAAGGTGAAGCCCACCAGGTCTGCAGGGCGGAAGTGTGTGAAGGAGAACGGGAAAGAGCCAGAGGAGGCAGGCTTCACAGGGCACTGAATAGTCCTGTCTTTATCCTACGGGCAGAAAAGGGCGAGGGTACTCAAAAAGCAAGAGGGTCAAGATCAGTGTTCCAAAAGTTCACCCAGCAAGGGGGTAAAGAGCGACAACACGGAGCAATGGAGGCGACTCTGGGATGCTGGTGAGAATACAGTGAGGCTTGGGAGATGACAAGGGGAGCAGAGGTATGCATGCGGACAGGCTTGTGAGACGCTTAGTAGATGGAATCGAGAAAATGGGACAACGATTAAGAGATGAAGACAGACAAACATGTCTTAAAGCTGATTCTCAGGCTTCTGCCTCACAGAACCACACAGACAACAGCACTGTTCACCAAAGGGAACAGGAAGACCAGTTCAAGGAGCAAAGCTCCTCAGTTGTACTGAGCATGTTGACTTTAGGCCCTGAGTGACAGCTACAAGACAGAACCAGGCCCTAGAATACACAGAGCAGGAGACACAGTGGGGCTAAGGTGTAAGCCTCCTAGTCATCACGACCCAGCTCGGCAGGCCTGACTCTTAATGGGACATAATCAAGCACAAGCAGCCGCCTGCACAGAACAAGCTAACAAATACTTGAGGGGAGTATTCTTTTTTTTTTTTTTTTCCCGTTTTTTTTGGCAGAACCGGGGATTGAACTCAGGCCCTTGCACTTGCCAGGGAAGCACTTATACTGCTGAGCCATCTCCCCGGCCAGTATTCTGTATTAATGAGAACTGCCTTTTTTATTTTTTAACATTTGAAGTTTCAAAACTAAATAAAAATCATCTCACAAGAGTCTTAGAAGTTTCCAAAACAATGTCTGTACATTCCTTCATTAAACATAAAAGATGCACTTATCACAGTAATTTTCCCTCTGTTAGCAACTCCTCAGGTAAATTCCAGTATTCCTTAGACATATAAGTACTGTCAGGACTAGCTCTTAAGTATAATTCAGAATAGATGCAAACACACCGTTAGTCAACTACTGAGCTTTTTTCCCATAATTTTATTGAGAAATAAGTAGTAATGAGACAGTTTCAAATCAAACTGGTAGGACAGTTCCAATAGTTAACACACTGCATACTGCCTTCCTAGTGCTTATTTGTTGTACAAGATGCAGACATGATATCCTATTTACAAACACTATTAGACCAAATCCCTCTATTCCTTGAATTAAGAGAATGTAGCTATACATCTATCCTAACCATTTTGAATACACAGATACAAAATGGTCATTCATCTGCATCCCTTTCTTTTGTTTAGTTCCATCATTTAAATATTATAGGTATGCAAACTCAGCAAAATATTCCAAAGTAGTCCAGTAGCCCATAATAGTATTGGGTCTTCCGCTTCACTGGCAATGTCAGAAATTGTTGACCTGAGTCCCCTGTAGCT